CTCGGCCTTTATCTACGCTGTTCCCCGCTACTGGACTGCTGGCGACAACTCCTGGCTCGTCACCGGCAACGCGCACCTCCAGGTGTGTGCCTGTTTGTTTGGAAGGGAAGCTGGGCACACAGGAAGAGATGTGCAAGTTGATGCATTTGACTGCGCGTGCACGTGTGTGTGTGCATCTGCGCCTGTCTGCTTGTGCGTGTGTATCGCACCTTGCGTGTGTATCACACCTGTGCGTGTGTATCACACCTGTGTGTGTGTGTGTCTGTGCCTGTACATCCGTGTGTGCGTGCTGCCCTTGCTTCAGTCAGCGATGTTCGGCTCGCCCTTTTACTCGGCTTACACATTGTCCTGCCACCCTTTGAACAGGACACGAGCGGGAACGCCAGCATGTTTGTGATGGCTGGCGTTATGGCCGCGGTTGTGCTCAAGTTCACTGGCGCTCGCATCGCCTCCGCCGGTATGTGGCAATATGTTACGCAGTTGCAGCTGGCGTTGCATGCTGCGAGGACGGTGCTATTTTGTCACTGTTGAGTTTGCCCACTTGTGACACCTGCACGCAAGCTCACTGCGCGCACACACACACACATACACATGCTCGTTCTCCTGTTCTCTCACTCTCTGCCTCGCTCTGCCTCTCTCTGCCTCTCTGCCTCTCCCCTTCTTGTTCACCAGGTGGTACCACTGCCGTGATGAACCAGCCAACCTCGCTTGTCTCGTCCACGGGCCTCCAGGCCATTGGAGGCGTGTTTCTGCTTGGCTTTTCCTCCCTGCGCCGCGCTAATCAGACAGGCGACGTCATCCCCGTCGAAGACAACCCGGCGCCCCGCTCCATATTGGTGCGTGTCGTCGTGCTTGTGCGTGCGTGCGTGTGTGTGTGTGTGTGGTTGTCCTCTGGAAGAGCTGGTTGTCTTGCGTCTAATCTCTCTATCAACGCCCCCCCCCCCCCCACACACACACAACACACACACACACACACACACACACACACACACACACACACACACACACACACACACACACACACACAAACAAACACACACATACACTCGTGCGCGTGCGTCTGTCAGGCTGCGGTGAACCTTGTGGTGTCACTTGGGCTTGGTGGCGTGACTGCCATCACGTTGCATCAGCTGTTTGCGGATCGGTGGTCCCATCTTCCGCCGTCCTTCACCGTCCGCCTCGCAACGGCCGGCGCCATCTCTGCCATGGTCCAGAACGCAATCATCGTGCTTATGCTTTGTTTTGTTGTCTGTGTGCGTGTGTGCGTGGTTGTTGTTTCTTGTGTGTATGTGTGTGTGTGTGTGCGCGCGTGCGTGTCATGATTGTTGTGCTGCGTTTGAGCTGATATCGCCCCTGTGCCTGTGTCTGTGTCGTGTGTCTGCGTGCATCCTGACCTGACGCACCTCCCTCCGTTGTCTCCATCTAACACCCCCTCCCCCGATCCTCACTCCAACCATGACCCAGGTTGCTGTGAGCGGGTTTGCAGGGGTGACCTTCCCCGAGGTGGTGATACCGGTTGCCATCGCCGCTGGCGCCGTCAGCCGCAGCGTCATGCTCGCGCTGCTCAGGGCAAACATTGACGACGCAACAGATGCCATCCCAAGTACGTGCACCTTGGGGGAGGGAGAGGAGCGGAAACCCAAAGCAGTGTGTGTGTGTGTGTGTGTGTGTGTGTGTGTGTGTGAAAGGATGGCAGCTGCGTTTCTGCCTGCCCGGCTCCTTGTCCCGGTCGCTTTGTGTGCGTGCCACGTCAGCACTGTCTGCACAGCATTATCCTCCCCGCCATCTCACCACTCGCTCGTTGCTTTCCACCCACCATCCACGCAACGTTCGCACGCCACGCTTCGCAACCACCCTGCCAGTCTACCTGGTGGGCGGGCTGCTTGGGCTCATCACTGCGCCCTTCTGGGACGAAGCAGACGGCATCTTCTACCACGTGGTGCGACACGCTGGCGCTGCCCGTGTTGAATAAATTGTGATGCGAGGGCAGGGGCGGGGTGGTGATGACAAGCGTGATTGGATTGAGCGCTTAATGGCACACACACGTGCACCTCGCCTGCGCATGTTTGCCAGCCAACAACACCTCATTACCACACACACACATACATACATACATACATGCATACATACATACATACATACATACACACACTCTCTCACATGCATACACACATGCATACATACATACACACACTCTCTCACATGCATACACACACACTCTTACGTGTATACATACACACATTCATATGCACACTGCAGGGAGAGTGGGATGGGCTTGGCTGGAACATTCTGGCCATGGTGTGCATCATTGCATGGTGCAGCTGCCTCACCGCGCTTATCTGCCTCTTCCTGCAAGCCTTCAATGCCCTTTCTTTTGCAAAACCCCACCTCCAGGACCCGCGTGGTGAGTACATGGCGGAGTGCTTTTTCTACACATGCGCGCGCGTCCCTGTGAGATGTGCCGACTGCTTTGCGAACAATTGTGTTATTACTCGCTTTGCCGCCTTCTCTCCACTTGTCTCCCATGCCGTACTCACACAAGCTCTCTCTCACACACACACACACACAACACCCACACCACATCGCACACCACAATGCAACACACAAAACCACGCGCCACACAACACGCGACGACCACCACGCTGCAACCAGGGCTGGATGTGTCGCTCTTTGCTGTGCGCGCGAGTGATGGCGGGCACAACGACACGCAGCTGACGCTGGCCAGCCTGCCGGGCGCACGCGGCAGTGGCGGAGACGGCGATCGCACCGTGTACATGACGGGCATGGATGGCCGTGACGCTGGCATGGATGCCAGTGGTGGTGATGCAGGGGATTCAACGCCACAGCAACATCGCCGACACCACAACAAGCAACAACAGCAACAACAGCAACAACAGGGTGAGACAGCGAAGCGATGGCGGCCGTATCAGCTGCAGCAACCCAGCAGCAAAGTGAGCCCAGCAAATCCATCGCCACTCCCAAGGCAGACACGCCAGACCCAGCAACAACAGCAACAACAGCGACACCCGCTCGCCAATTCCAACACGGCAACAAGTGCACCACGACAGCAACAGCAGCAGCAACACCAACGCCCACCACACCAGCATCCTCATCGCGATTACCGTGTCATCGATACCAATGCTGGCAACCACACCACCACTGATGAAGATGACGATAACGACGGTGGCGTGCCTTCCATCATCACGCCGCGACAACTCTACTCGCATCACCCAGCGCACAACATCAACCACAACAACAACCACAACGACAACGACATGAACGACGATGACAGCCCATCGCTGCCTGGCGCGTTCCACACAGACGATGTGGAGGTGTGATTATTGGCTGATGATATTCGTTAATTTTCCTTATTGCCCATGTTGGCGGTTTGAGACAGCATAAAAGTAGAATCCAATCATCTCGTTGTTTGTTGTTGTTGGTGCGATTGTTCCCCTCTCCTTGCTTGCTTGCTTGCTGCACTTCTTTGCCTCACACATCCACGAAGTCGCTCAGTGGGTGGGTGGTGCCGATGCTCGCACGTGAGACGTTGCTTGCTTGAGACGACGGAGGAAAGCAAGAAAGGTGGTAGAGTGAAGGCAGCAGCCGATTCAAGACTAGGCCCACCTGCGCGCTGAAGACAGTCTTCCAGCCCAACAAGTGTGAGCAAGCACAGGCGTTGGTCCTGGCTGGGGTTTTATCATCAGCAGCGTGTTCCAAAACGCTGGTCGTCGCATGAACCGGACACGCACACGCGCCAGGATGGACGCAAATCCACAGCCATGGCCGTTGGCACTGCTCGTGCTGCTGATGGCTCCTCTGCCAGCAGGTACGATGCCTGTCTTCTCGCCTTGTTTGCCGTTGTTGTTGTTGTGCCTTGAATGCCTCGTTGTTCACGAAATTGCGTTGCTGATACACGTTTGCAACCTACACACACACACGTTCACACACATAGACTCACACACACGCACACACGCACACACGCACACACGCACACACGCACACACGCACACACGCACACACGCACGTACTCACTCACACACGCTCACACGCTCACGCACGTACTCACTCACACTCGAACCTCTTCCTCTCCTTTGTCCCCATTTCTTCGCCACAATGAGCAGAAGCTGCGCCCAAGGGTGTGATTGGGCTGCACATTGCTATTGAAATTGTGATCCTGCTATGCATCATCGCGTTTGTCGGTGCCTTCATCGCCTACCTCTGCTACACCACGCGTACCTTCTGCTTCAAGAAGCGCCGTCGCGCCATCGATGTGGTGCGTGCGTATGTGTGTGTGTGTGTGTTGTTGTTGGGGGGGGGGCGTCGCGTGTGTGCAATTAGTGGGAGTTTGAATCTGCGCTTGTTTACCTTGCCTGCCTGTTGTGATGCCCAAGCCCTTCTCATACACACACATACACTTACACACATACACATATATGCAGCATGAGATGGTGCACAATGAGATGCTGCAGCAGAACGATGGGATGCGGTTCTCAACCTCCGGCGGTATGACGGCCAACCCGCTGGCAGCGAAAGGCGGCGGCGACCTCCCGCCAGCCCTTAGAAACTCCGTCAAGCGCAACAACTCTGACGTAAGCCCCCGAATAGTGTGCACGTGTGTGAACCATGTTATTGCTCCTCCGCTCTGGTACACGCTGTTTCCTCATGTATTGATTTTACAACGTGCCTTCCACCCTTCCCTCCTCACACACACACACACACACACACACACACACACACACACACACACACACACACACACACACACACACACACACACCCACACGTGCATGCAGGCACAGGTCGTGCAAGACGACGACAGCGATGACGACGGCGCTGGCGGTGCCGGCGACTATGACAACATCCCTGGCCCCGACGGCACCGATCCCGACCCGGGCCAGCGCGCATCGCACAGCCGCCCGCCCGCGCCGCTGCCAACCAACGCCGCCGAGGTCATCTCACCGCTCCCAAAGACACCAAGCGCTTCGTCCTCGTCAGCGGTGCGTTGCATCATCCCGTGATTGTGTGTGTGTGTGTGCTGTGTGGTTGTGTTGCGCGCGTGTGCCTGGTTTCATTGAGTGTCTTCATCTCTGCCTGGGTATGAGTGTGCTGTGCGTGCATTGCTGTTGCGTCGCGCTTACCCTAACGTCTCTTCCTTTCCCTTGGCCGTACTGTCAGTGAAGAGTCCACCCCACACACACACACACACACACACACACACACACACACACACACCCACACGTGCATGCAGGCACAGGTCGTGCAAGACGACGACAGCGATGACGACGGCGCTGGCGGTGCCGGCGACTATGACAACATCCCTGGCCCCGACGGCACCGATCCCGACCCGGGCCAGCGCGCATCGCACAGCCGCCCGCCCGCGCCGCTGCCAACCAACGCCGCCGAGGTCATCTCACCGCTCCCAAAGACACCAAGCGCTTCGTCCTCGTCAGCGGTGCGTTGCATCATCCCGTGATTGTGTGTGTGTGTGTGCTGTGTGGTTGTGTTGCGCGCGTGTGCCTGGTTTCATTGAGTGTCTTCATCTCTGCCTGGGTATGAGTGTGCTGTGCGTGCATTGCTGTTGCGTCGCGCTTACCCTAACGTCTCTTCCTTTCCCCCTTGCCTTCGCCCTTGCCTTCCAATTGCAGTCACGCCCACCTGCGTACACGCCCTCTGTCGACAAGAACACACCTGGCACCCGCGCCTCCCCAGCTCGAGTACGTGTGTTCCCATCGTCGCCACCTCCACCTGTCCTGTCGTGCTGTGCTGCCTCGCAGCCATTGTGATGATGATGATGATGATGATGATGATGATGATGATGATGATGATGATGATGATGATGATGATGATGATGATGATGATGATGATGATGATGATGATGATGATGATGATGATGATGATGATGATGATGATGATGCAATTGTGTGATGTTGTGTTGCTGTGGTGATGCAAGCTCACGTTGTCTGTTGTGCATGATGTCATGTCGTGTCATTGTTGCGTCACATCACCATGATCGGTTCGTTGCTGCTGTACCATCCGCCTCCCTCAGCTCTCCGCCGCCGGTGCTACAGCACAGCCCGTCCAATTTGGTGAGTCGCCGCACGCTGCAGCCTGGCTCTGTTTTGTGTGTGTGTGTGTGTATGTGTATGTATGTATGTATGTGTTCGTGTGTGCGTGCGTGTGTATGTGTGTGTCGAAATTCGGGGTCTTGTCATTTCCTTTCACTCACAACCACAAACCTGCCACCGCTAACAAACAATCAACAACCACCATACCACCATACCACCACTGCAGACCGCGAGTACGAAGATCCCGTGCAGCAGTCAAACTACGTCGACATGGACGTTTCACGCAAACGTCAGTCGTCACAACCGTGCACACGCAGAGAGAGAGAGGGGGGGGGAGGAGGGGTTGAAGACGGATGGTGAAGCAAGGAAGGCACGCATTTGTGTTGCGGGCAGACTCATGGACGCGGGATGGTCACACTTGATGAGATGCATGTTGTCTGTTTGTGCTCCTGCACGCGGCCCGTTTTGAGCTTGAGCGTCTCATCCTTTCCTCCCATCTCACAATGGCCACCGCCACCGCAATCACACTGCTGCTGCTGTTTTGGTTGCTTGCAGGCATCTCCAAGGTGTCGACGACGAGTGGACCGCCAGCAGAAGCGCCACCCCCACGCAAACAGGTGCCGTTGGACAGCGCACATTGTGCTGTGGATGATGGTGGTGGTTGTTGTTGTTGTTGTTGTTGTTGTTGTTGTTGTTGTTGTTGTTGTTGTTGTTGTTGTTGTTGTTGTTGTTGTTGTTGTTGTTGTTGTTGTTGTTGTTGTTGTTGTTGTTGTTGTTGTTGTTGTTGTTGTTGTTGGAGCTGGAGTCAGTGGAGCTTGGGGAAGGGATAGATGCTGGTCCATGTCACAGATGGCAGACAGACACACACATGTGTTACACACCAATTGACGTACCATCGCCAAACGCATGGCTCTGCGGCCCTGTGTCTCCCTTCACCGTGTGCACAGAACGGACAGCGACTGACGCTGAATGACGGGCGGGAGCTTGAGGAGTGGACGAAGGAGACGGTGTCGCTGTGGCTGCGGTCCATTGGTGTTGGTCTCGTCAAGGGACTGCAGGGCCTCAACGGCAGCGACCTCGTCCGCCTCACACACGTCAGTTTCCTGCCATGCTATGCGAGCGCCTCGTGCTGCCCTGGTCTTGCGCGTGCAGTTGTGCTTGTGCGTGTGTATGCGTGTATGCATTTGTGCTTGTGTGTGCTTGTGTTTGTTTGTGTGTCTGTTGGTCTGGTTGTATACTGAATAACATGCTTGTCGTGCGCGTCGGTCCAAGCTCACACTGAACGCCGCCATCATCACGGCCAACACTGTACCCCCTCCCCCCCCCCGCCTGCAGGATGACCTGCTGCTGCTTGGGGTGCACGACCCAAAGACCCAGGACATCATCCTCTCTTCCCGTGACGCCCTCCTCCCCACATTCAACACGTTCGTTGCCAGCGCGCGCGTCACCATGCTGCTGCCACTGCTGCTGCTGCTGTGCATTGTGATGTTTTGAATGTACCTGCACCATCTGTTGTGGCACATTGTCTTGCTCTCGTCACTCCAATCTCCCTCACCTCTCCTTGCTTCACCTCTCCTTGCTTCACCTCCCCTCACCAGCGCGGATGACGACGACGAGACGGGGGACGACCCTGCGATTGAGGATGAGCCGTATGTGTCCCCCGAGGAACTCCGCTCCCCAGCGTACATGCTGCAGAAGACCAGGGCTGCCAGCGGTGGCAGCAGCGGCCATGGTGGCGACGATAACAGGCCAGGCGCATACGAGGACATGACGCCAGGTGGGGTGACTGGTTGTGTGGTGGCTGTCGCGCTCGTGGTCGTGATGCGGTTTGTCGTTTGGCAGGGTGCTGCTTGAAGTCATCTCTATTTTAGCGCTGCCCTGTGATGGCAGTAGCAATCTCCCACTTTCCTTCCCTCTACTCTTGTCATCATTGCACTCTCCCCCCCCCCTCACACACTTCAACACTGCTAACTGATGCTAACACCCCTCCCCCCCCCATGCATGCTGCGCTGCTTGCACTCTCCAGAGGCGCTGTGCATCCGTAATGGAGAACTGCGCAAACTGCTCGCCGACAGCAGCATGACGCAATACTCACGCCTCTTTGTGAAAGAAGGTACAGTCATGGTGCATGTGTATGCGTTTGTGCGTGTATGTGTGCGTGTGTGTGTGTGTGCGTGAAAGTGGATGCTACTTTGAGGTTTCCTTCCTCTCCCGTCTTCGCCCACTCTGCTCACCTCTCCCTCCGCAACACCCCTTCCCCTCTCCCCTCTCCCCACAACTCCAACACCACCGCCTCCCTCACCTCGCTGCCAGGCATTGACGATGTGACGACGCTGTGCGAGTACACGACAGACGAGCTCAAGTCGCTGGGGCTCAAGGGCGGGCACGCCAAGCGGCTGCTGTCGCAGGCCCGGGACCTCAACCCAAAGTACCGCACCAACGCGTCTCGTCTCGCCTTTGAACTGCAGGAGAGCGAGCGCCGTCTCAGGGTTCGTCTCGTGCCAGTTGCGATGGCAGATGCCGTTGTTGTTGTTGTTGTTGTTGTTGTTGTTGTTGTTGTTGTTGTTGTTGTTGTTGTTGTTGTTGTTGTTGTTGTTGTTGTTGTTGTTGTTGTTGTTGTTGTTGTTGTTGTCGTTGTTCCTGCTGGTGACAGTGATGGTGGTGTTCGTGCGTGTGCCTCATGGTTTTCGTCGTTTTTTCGTTTCCCCTCACCCTTCCATCCTCTCCACACCGCCACCACCACCGCCGCCACCACTGCCACCGCCGCGTGTGCAGGACCACGTTGAGCGGTTGACGACGGTGCAGCTGGCCAAGTTCCGGCCAAACGGGCGGCCGTGGGAGATTGATCGCGACACTGTCTTTGAAGGAAAGCTCCTTGGCGAGGGCGGGTTTGGCAAGGTCTACTTTGGCACAGCTGCACACCTCCGTGAGTAGGCGCATCTTTGCGTGTGTCAGTCTGGTGTGTCTGTGTGTGCGTGTGTGCGTGTGTGCGTGTGTGTGTGTGTGCGTGTGTGTGTGTGTCTCAGATTATCCCGCTTCACTTTCGTCTTTTCGACCCTCCTTTCCCTCAATACGTGTCTCATCACACTCAAACCGAACACCGCACCCCCTACAACACACCTCCCAGTGCCTGATGAGGAGGAGACACTTGTGGCCATCAAGAAGTTGAAACCAAACGCGAGCGAGCTGGACAAGCGCGATTTCCTGGACGAGATCCACGTCATGCAGCAGTTTGACAGGCACGAGAACCTTGTGAACCTTCTTGGGTTCTGCGTGCGCCAGGAGCCTATGATGCTCGTGCTCGAATACATGAAGGACGGCGACATGCTGTCGTTTCTCCGCAACAATCGTCCAACGGAGGAGGACCCAGAGCCCCGCATCAAGGTGTGTACGTGTGTGTCGTGTAGTTTAATGCAGTGTTGTGTAGTGTAATAATGGAGTGGAGTGGAGTGGGGTGTATTTAAGAAAGATCTTTCGCTACATTTCACAGTCCATTACACCACCTGTCATCCATCACCTTGTCCTTTTCCTTTCCTCCTTCTCCCTCGCCCCGTCCCGCAGGCGCCGGAGTTGCTTGGGTACATGGCAGACGTTGCGGCGGGGATGGCATACATCAGCAGCCGCCACTGCGTGCACCGTGATCTCGCCGCCCGAAACATTCTCCTCGATCGCCCGCGCGCAGCCGTCGCTGACTTTGGCCTCGCAAGGTCCGCCGTGTTTGCTCTTGTGTGTTTCTCTGTGTCTGTGCGCACACGTGTGTCTGTGTGTGTCTGTGTGTGTCTGTGTGTCTGTGTGTGCGTGTGCGTGTGTGTGTTTCTCTGTGTCTGTGCGCACGCATGTGTGTGTGTGTGTGTGTTGGTTGCCCCCGTTCTGCCAACCTTTCAATTGATTTTGCGACTCACCCCACCCTACTTGGTTCCTGCTGGTGTTCAGACGCATGACGGAGCAGTATGCGTACCTGATCCAGAACAAGCAGCGTGCACTGCCGACGCGCTGGCTTGCACCCGAGAGCCTCTTGTACCAGAAGTTCACCTCCCAGACAGATGTGTGGTGCGTCTGCTGATACGCTTGCCTCGCGTTGTCTTCGTTGTGCTTGCGGCCTGCAAGTGTTCGCATGTATGTACGAAACGTTTAATGTTGCAGTTTCATTTCACGCATGACCCTCTATTTTTCTCATTCACACACACACACACACACAAACACACACACACACACACACACACACACACACACACACACACACACACACACACAGGGCGTTTGGCGTGACGATGTGGGAGATTGTGATGATGGGGGCGGTGCCCTATCCAGGCATTCCGACAACAAACCTGTTCCGCCTCCTCCTCAGCGGCCACCGTATGGACCGTCCGCAGAACTGCTCCCAGGACCTCTACAACGTCAGTGACGCATTCTCCGTGTGTGTGTGTGTGTCTGTATGTCTGCATGTCTGCATGTCTGTGTGTGTGTGTGTGTGTTTTCGCATGTCTGTGTCTGTGTGTTTGCGTGCATGCCTCTGTCTGCCCTTCAGCACTTCGGCTGTCTGCTTGCACGCCTGCGTTTTTGTTGTCCATTTGCCCACGGTTCTGCGGCTGCCCGTGTGCATTTCCATCAATGCCACGCATGCAAGAATGGCGAGCACTCACACGCCCATCACACGCCCACTCCACCTCTTATTGTCCTTTCAACAGCTGATGCTTTCGTGCTGGAACAAGCTGCCGAGCAAGCGCCCGACGTTTGAGAGCCTTGAGCGGCAGTTGCGACAGTTGCGCGCGCGTGCAACGCACCATCTTGATGACACCGTTGAGGGCACGCGTGAATACCTCACACTCGACGTCACCGTACGTGCCCCAACAACTGCTGCTCATGTGTGTGTGTGGGGTGTGTGTGTGGGTGTGTGTGTGGGTGTGTGTTTGTGTGTTTGTTCATTTGTGCGTGTGCGTGTGTGCATGTTTTCGTACGTGTGGATGACACTCAACTCAGGCATGTGTTAGTGCTCTCCCCTCCACAACACTCACACCCACACCCACACCCACACACACACCTACACACACACCCACACACACACCCACACACACCCACACACACCCACCCACACACACACACACACACACACACACACACACACACACACACACACACACACACACACACACACACACACACACACACACACCCAACCACCACCACGGTGTACACCTGTCATTAGGACGAGGACGATGAATGGATGCCACAGCTCGATGCCCTGCGCGAAGACCACGACGGCGATGACAGCGCGACAACGACGTGCTCCACCGGTGCTCGATTGGAGCGATCGGGTGCCGTTGATCACGCCGACTCGCGCCACACATCCGTCTCACAGGCACTGGAGCAGCACAAACAACAGCAGGCGCAACAGGGTGGTGACACTGGTGGTGTTGGCGGCGGTGGTGAAGGTGATGGTCAGCCAACGCTGCCGCAGCAGGCGACGTACGTGTTCCACATGCCAAAGCTCGACCGCACCCCATCTGCCGGTGTCAAGGGCGAAGCAGCGACGGGGCTACAGCGACAAGGGTCTGGGTACCACCGCATGCTGCGAAAGCAGGATGGGTCATTCGAGGTGGCGATGGACGCCGGTGCCGGTGAAACGGACACGGATGTGTATGTTGATGTTGACCGTGACAGCAGCCACCACCAACCCGCACCACAACCACACGCGTACGATGACATGAAGCCACGACCCAAGCCGCATGCGTACGATGACATGAAGCCACGACCCAAGCCGCATGCGTACGATGACATGAAGCCACGATCCAAACCACACGCATACGATGACATGAAGCCACGTGACATAACACAACAGCAGCAACAACAACAACAACGGCAGCAGCAGCAGCAGCCCATGCTGTATGAGGATGTGGACAACGGCACCGGCACCGATGGCAATGACGATGATGAGGAGCCCGGATACGACCAGCTCGAGGGCGTCAACTTGCCCGTTGCGCACTTTGAGTCCATGTATGAGAATGACGGCGATGGTACTGGTGCGTTGGCGGCTGCGATCACGCCCGCGCCGAGCAGCAACAGCAGCAACCCGTTGCCGCCACTGCCAACGCCTCCACAGCAGTCACAGAACGCGCCGCAACCGCACCAACCGCCACACGAGCAAGCGGCACTACACCAGCCCTCGCCATATGGGGAGCCCATCAGCGGGGATGTGTACGGCGCGCCGCTCCCGACATCCATTGGTGCCCCACCACCAACAGCAACGACAACAGCAGCAACAGGGGCAGCAGGCCACCAGGACTCGGCAGACCTGTACATCACAACGGACGACGTGCAAGTGCGCGCTGAGGAAAAGTCGGAGAAGCGGGCGGCGGTGGCGCTGAGCAACGTGCGCACAGACGTTGCACTTGAGTCACTCGACCTTGATGCCGTGGCCGACGCAGCCCTCGAACCCACGGGCGCAGATGGCGACGATGGTGGTGATGATGACCCGCGCAGGTTTGATCCGTCTGCTCAGCCCGTATACATTGACCTTGATGATGACGACGCCGACAACAATGGAAGTGGCAGTGTCTCTGCGCAGCCGCAGCGGCCGGCGGTGGAGGAGTGCCTGTACGACACGGTGCGGGTAATGACGCCCAGTGCAGCCAAGCGGCGCAGCGAGAACCAAGGGGGCGTGGCGCCTGGTTGGGCAATGGGCGATGATGGTTCATACATGCTGGAGCGGCCTGGCGAGCCGGAGCAGCACGCACTGCCAAAGGACGCCGGGTACCTCGAGGCGGATGGCGCAACATCCGCCGATGAGGATGCCGAAACCATGGCCATCGGTGGTGCGCACACGGACGCGCGTGGTGTTTCGCACACGGACGTGCACCTTGGCGACTCGCCCGCTGGCCGCGGCGGTCTCAAGGCGCGCCCGCAACTGCGAAGGTCGCGACGAGAGGAGAAGCCAGACGTCATCCCATCGGCTGCACGCACGGTGGCCACTTCACCCACTGCGAAGCCCGCGGCACCATCGCCTGCCGTTGCCTCGAAGGCGTCCACGCCTGCTGTTGTTCCACAGCCGTCACAGTCGTCGCCTCTCGCCTGCAACGTGGGCGAGACACCGCCTGCTGAGCGGCCACCAGCCCGCCCTGCGCTGCCGACCCGCCAACGCGTGCGCAACACGTCGTCCTCTTCCTCGGCAACATCTGCGCATGCGTCTCCACGCACCTCCGCCGCAATTCCACCAACGCCAACAGCGGCTGCGCCTCCGTCAGCCACACCGCCCCCACGCCCACCGCACAAATCACAGCAGCAGCAGCAGCAGCAGCAGCAGCAGCGCCGGTCGTACGGGCGAGATGAGGCGCAACCGTACACGCAGCTGCCGCCATCCCGCAAGGCAGCGGGGGCGCGACGTGCTGTTCACTCTGCGCCGCAACCGCCACCGCACTCGCGCCATCAGCCCGGTGCTGGCGACGACAGCGGCAGAGGTGGTGGTGATGATGAGCCGTTGCCACCGCTGCCGCCAAAGCCGCCCAAGCTGCAGAACCCGAACCTTGGTGTTCCTCCTGAGCTGCAGGAGAGCCAAGATGCCCCGCCGCTGCCCAAGAAGGGCGGCAGGCGGCGGTGAGGTGTCTCACGCATATGGCATGAATCCATGATGTTTATGTACTCGGATGACATGGGTGTGAACGTGTGTGAAAGTTTGTGTGTGTGTGAATGTGCGTGTGAATGTGTTTGTTGAGTGTAAATGCGTTTGTTGAGTGTGTGAATGTGTTTGTTGAGTGTGAATGTGTTTGTTGAGTGTGTGAATGTGTTTGTTGAGTGTGTTTGTTGAGTTTTTGTGGATGCGTGTGGGATAGAGTGCGTTTGTCATCCTGTACGTGTTTGCACGCCCCTTGTGTCTCTGTCTTCCCCTTTCTGTGTATTGCGTGACGTAGTTGAGCTGCACTTGATTCCAAAGCGATTTGCTGTTACGAAACTCTTCCCCTGTCCCGCCATGCGGTTTGCTGCCTCTTGTTGCTTGCGTGGCATTCTTCTTTCATCTTTTGTGACATGTGACTGAGACTTTTGCTACCTTTTCTTTGACCCTCGTTTCGTTGCTGGTGAACGCTCCCCACAATTACAACGAAACAACAGCCTTGACTCGCGCGAACGTGTTTGGGTGTGACACGACACCACAGTGTGTATGTGTGTGTGTGTGTGTGTGTGTGTGTGTGTGTGTGTGTGTGTGTGTGTGTGTGTGTGTGTGTGTGTGTGTGTGTGTGTGTGCATGCGCCATCTTCCCCAACTCTTTATCCTGATTCTCTCCATCTCTGCGTGCAGCGGGTGGTGATTTAATTTGAGTGCGGCAGAAGAGCAGGTAAGTGTTCACTAGAGCCAGTAGTTCGGTTAAGGTTGCTGGGTAAGGCGCACGCTGTTGCCTATTGGCGTTACTGCTGTTGCTGCCGTTGTTGTTGCTGCTGCTGCTGTTGGAGTTGGAGTCGCAGAGTGGCGTTTGCCTTGGTTGAGGGTTGCAGTTGTGTTGTGGCGGCAGAGGAGGACGTGGGCCCAGACGCAGATGAGTGTGCTGAAGATGACGACGAAGAGGATGAGGAGGCGTCAGAGGCGGCGCTTGAGTGCGTTGCAATTGTCGCTGTCAGGGGTCCTGTGCTCGTGACCACCGTGCCAATATGTTCGCCATCGCTCGCGTGCACAAATGAATCACCCACTACAGGGGGCGCTTCGGTGCCCAAGATAGACATTGGTAGCGGCGGCGTCAGTGCAAACGATTGCTCAGGTGCAGACAGCGCTGGTGTTGCGGGTGGCGGGAGCCACGGTTGGGTGGTGTCAACTTGCTGTTCGGACAAGGGCGGGGCAGGAGGGGAGGTGAGGGCAAACAGACTACCTCCGCCAAATCCATCGCCCAATCCAGCTGTGGACGTCACGCTTGCTGTTGTGGTACTCGGTTCATAGGAGCGTTCATGGCTGTGTTGTTGTTGTTGTTGTTGTTGTTGTTGTTGTTGTTGTTGTTGTTGTTGTTGTTGTTGTTGTTGTTGTTGTTGTTGTTGTTGTTGTTGTTGTGGGGGCTGCAAGATGCCCTGAGCAATGGCATGGTGCGAGTGGTGCGTGTTGAGGGCCTGCTGGGTCGGGAATATCAGCTCGCACCCGTCGTACTCGCACACACAGCGGAGCGTCTCTTCCTTCGCATCGCGCATGTGTCGCTTCACGTGCTTCTCGTACGCGCCAAAGGTGGTGAAGGTGCACGTGCAGGTTCCAGCAAACGGGCATGCGTAGGGGCGTGGTTTGTGTATCTTGGCGTGGCGACGCAGGTGCTCCTTCCGCCCAAACGCCTTGTTGCACCCTGGCTCCGGGCATGCAAACGGCCTGACACCAGCATGCGTCATCTCGTGGCGTTTCAGGCTCGCCTTGTCCCGAAACGCCCGCGCACATTGCTTGCAGGCAAACGGCGTCTCACCCGTGTGGCCCATCTCGTGATAGCGCAGGCTGTTTCGGCTCACAAACTCCATCCCACATCCCTCACGCGTGCACACAAACTTCTTCGACGAGCGCCTTGCCTTTGGAGCCGGAGGCTTTGCCGCCCCCGGCGATGTGCGGGCTGGTTCCCTGGAGCGAGGCGACGTGGACACAGGCGCTGACGTGGCTGGTCTCGTTGTCGTTGCTGCCGTGGGATCGGTTCGTGGGTGTGGCGATGCATGCGCGGCAGCAGGTGGCACAACAGGAACAGGTGGAGGAAGCGGGTGCTCCAGCGATGGTGTTGCTGCAGTGCCTGTGCCCTGCATGTTGGCTGATGGTGCAGTTACATTCGGTGCAGCAGCCACGGCTGGGGCATACACGCTGCTTGCACCAGCTGCCGTCGTTGTGGTGGTGGATGCTGACGTTGTGGCGGCAACGCTGTTGACCGTGGCCGTGGTGCCATCGCCGGCTGCTGTTGTCATCATGGGTACGGGTGTGAGCGGCAGCATGACGGAGAGTCGGTGGTTGTGTTGCATGTGCAGCTGATGCAAGAGTAGCTGCTGTGACGGTGCAGGTGGTTGGTGGCCGTGCTGGCGGGGACCGTGTGAGTGTTGGTCATACACACGGCCCACAAGCATGTGCGAGCCTTCCTTGGCCGCAGCACCAGCCGATGCTGGCACAGGTTCTCCTCGGGATGCATCCGCCTTGTTGGTTACGCGTTCATCGTGCTGTCCTTGCTTCTTGCGCCCCTTGCCTGCGCGTCGCGGCCGAATCCTTTGTTGCTGCGGTTGTTGTTGGTGCTGTTGGTCTTGCTGCTGTTGTTGTTGCTGTCGCATGGCACCTGATCGTTGGTTCTTGTCCACCAGAATGTGCGCGTTGCTCGGGCACTTGCGGTTGTCTACGCGTGCATCGGCAGCACGCGTGGCGGTGCCTCGTGCGCTCCCTTGCGCGTCAGCAACTGCGCGATCAGCATGCTTCATGGTTGCATCACCATCACCACCACCATCATCATCATCCCCATCATCACCATCGTCATCGTCATCAGCGGCACCCAAGTCGACAAGCGCATCGAGCGCATTCTCCGAGGGGACAAGAAATACATCACCATCATCATCAGCAGCATCCACACCATCGTCACTATCACAGCCACGGCCACGACGACGTCGACCACCATCACCTTCCTCATCGCCGGCGTCATCATCACCCGCATCATCATCATCGCGAGCACCACGACCAACGGGCGCGTCTGCGAGTGACGGTGGCAGTGCAGACAAATCGGACAGGGATGGATGAAGGAGCGCAGCGAGCGCGGATGATGACGAGTCTGTGCAGACGGCGAAGGAGAATGGCGACCACCTGCTGTCGGAGCCACTAGATGACAGCTTCCTCCGCTGCAGCGCCTGTGGCATGGAGGACGACGATGACCACCACAAGGTTGGCAGCCGCATACGCACCTCCGAGTCGTGTTGTTGTTGTTGTTGTTGTTGTTGTTGTTGTTGTTGTTGTTGTTGTTGTTGTTGTTGTTGTTGTTGTTGTTGTTGCTGTTGTTGAGTGTTGTGTGGCAAGGTGGGTGGGCGCGGAACACCTGCAGACGCAGACCCAGCGTCGGGCTGCACACAGTCGCCGTCACCGCCAGTGCTACCGTGCTGTTGTGCTAGTGGCCGTTTGCGGCCTGCCAACCCCTGCTGCTGCTGTTGCTGCTCGCGTTGGCCACTAAGGCGTGCTTTCAACTGCGCAGAGAGTGTGAGTGCGCGCTTGCGTGGCTGTGCTTCTTGTACGTCATCACCATCGCCACCATCGCCATCAAGCCTCACAACATCATCATCACTCACACCATCACGCGTGGTGGTGGTGTGGTTGTTGTTGTTGCTGATGTCGCGCCCAGCTCGGCTGCCACTGCTGCGGCCACTGCGTCGCTTGCGGTTTTGGGAGCGTGTGCGGGTATTGCCAGGGGCGTGTTGGCTGCTGTGTGCGCTGTTGTGCAGCTGTGTGGAGAGTGAGGAAGCCGCTGTGACAGGATGACCGGCCTCAGGTCGCTGCTGTTGCTGTTGTTGATGCCGCTGCTGGGGTGGTGGTAGTGGTGGTGGTGGTGGTGACAATGCACCAATGCGTGATAGGATGAGCGAGGTTACATCACGCTGGAAGTGGGCGTGGTGGTGGTCGGCAGCTGACGATTGGGCCTGCAGTGCACCGCGAAGAGCGCTGCTGCTGTCGTCAACAGCAGCACCATTGGGCGCTTGCGTGTTGGCTGCACGCCCTGCATTATCGTGCACAATCCCATCAGCATCAGCCAGGAAGGGCGGTGGTGTGGATGTGAATGTTGCGAACGAAGGCAGGAGCGTTGGTGGCGTGGAAGGTGCTGACGGTAAGCGGTTGCTGCTGCTGCTGCTGCTGTGGCGATTGCGACCACGACCGGACAGGGAAGCAGCTGGTGTGGGTGTTGCGAGTGTGGCAGTGCAGAGAGTGAGTTGCGACTTGCGACATGAGCAGATGAACAGGATAACCAATGGCACCAAGCAACCACCCAACACACACACATACGCACACACACACCGACACTGACACTGACACCGACACCGACACCCCTCCCACACACACACACACACACACACACACACACACACACACACACACACACACACACACACACACACACACACACACACACACACACGCACACACGCATATACGTTGTGGGGTCAGAACATCCAGCTGTGGCTGGATAGTCCAGAATGGTGGCGGCAGAAGCATGGATGCATCACCATCAGCAACTGGAAACCTGCCCAGGGAGGGCGAGTCAAACACAGAGCTGCCACTGCTCTGCTTTCGTCCCCTTGTGCCACCTTCTTGTTCTTGCTGCTGCTGATGCTGCTGCTGCTGCTGCTGCTGCTGCTGTAAGGGGGCGCCCGTCGCGTCGCCGCCGCTGTCGCTGTCCACCTCAAGGCCCGGGAGGGGACGCCGCGGTGTGCTTTGCGAGTGGAGCCGGCCCCGTTGTTGTCGTTGCCGTTGTCGTGGTCGTCGCCGTTGCAGCCGCTGCCGCTCGCGCATCTGTCCCCGTTGACACCAGCGAATGGAACGGGGTGTAGCTGTACTGTCGGTCGAAGCAAACACGTCGCCACCATCATCCCCGCCCTCATCCCCGTCGTGGCTGCCGGCCTCGTTGGCGTCGGTGGTGTCGGGGGTGTGGTGGCGGGCAGGGCGGGGTCGAGAAGGGGTGTGCTGGTCGCGAACTGGGGTCGCACTGCGCCGTGCTCGTGCTGGCGTCGCACGGTCAAGGCTGCGCACTGCTTCAGACAGGGCGAACGATCCGAGGGCACCACCTGCCGTGGCGACTGTGGCATCCACCGGGTGTTGTGAACTGTCGTCATCGTGATCACCGCGAGCGCCGTGTTCGTGAATGATTGTCCGCATGAGGCTTAAGAAGGACGGGTCTGAGGACACGCGGTGGCGACGTCCTTGCTGTTGCTGGTGATGTGGGGAGCCTTGGTCAAGGCTCCTGCTGCCTAGCCTCGAGCGTGGCTGGCGCGGCGGCAACGCCGTGGCAAAGCTGACATCGTGAACCAGGTCATCGTGGTGGAGGCCCATCGTATCGGAGAGCCACATGTCTGTCCAGTCGGCCATGTCGCCTGCGTCTCTGCTGCTGCTGATGCTGCCACCCTGGACCCCATCCCGAAGCAAGCGCAAGTCATCCCCAAAGAAGTTGTTCACCACCATGCTTTCCTCGCCGCCCTCTGCGCCAGCGACTGTGCTGGCTTCGCTGGGCAGAAGCACAGGCGGCAGTTCTTGCGGCTGTTGCATGCTGTTGGCGTTGGCGTTGTCGTCGTCGTCGTTCTGGGATTGGGTGTCCGCCGCCACATGTGCTGAGCGGTCGTTCTGGGAATCACCACCGCTGCTGCTGCTTCTTCTTCTTCCTCCTCCTCCTTCTCCTCTTCTCTGGGTTGCTTCTGCTGCTTCTACTTCTGCTTCTCTTGCGACTTGGTCAACATGAGTGCCTGGTGCCTCGTCCTCCTCGTCCTCCCCTCCTTCCTCCTCCATGTCCATGCCGTGCGCCAGCGCTGTCAGCGGGCTGGCCATGCTTGTTGCTTGCTTCGTTCGTGTTGTTGGCTCGTGCTGTCGTTGTTGTTTTTTGTGTCGACGTTTGGTGTCACCGGTGGATAGACAAAAATTGATATACGCTTTGCACACATTTTCCTCCTGATCAAGTGCGCACTGAGGCTGGTTTGTTTTGGTTTGGAGCCAAGAAGCGAGCAGAGGAAGGGGAAGAGGAGCAAGGATGCGAAGTGCGAAGGAGGGAAGGGGAGAGGAGCAGGGAGAGGAGCGTGTCGTGTGTTGTGACATGATGGTGATGACGACGAAGGAAGAACGGAAGAAGGGGACTAAGGTGTGGGGGTGGACGAGGTTGGTGGGGAGGACGAGGAGCAGACGGGAAGGGCAATCTTCAGCTTGCACAGACGCATGACCTCGCCGTTGTCCGTTGGGTTCTTGTACACGGCAGGACCGTTGGGGTCCTCTGTGTATGTGGTTGTGTGTGTGTGTGTGTGTGTGTGCGTGCGTGTGTGTGTGTGCATGCACGAGTGTTGATGGGTGTGCGTATGCGTTTTGTGTGTAAAGCATGTCATGCATATTGCTCAAAGTGCGTCGCAAGGGCAGCAGTGGAAAGAGTCGCAGGCACCGCTTACGTTCAAGGTACATCTTGGTCATGAGGCGAAGGGTGTCGAGGCGCACGTGGTGTTCTGGCGACTCAAAGTGCGGCACATAGGATGGATCCTCAGCCAGCCGCTTCAACAGGGATTCCTTCGCCAGCACCACGCGCAGCTTGCGCATCTATGTGTATATTATGCACGTGTGTGTGTGTGTGTGTGTGTGTGTGTGTGTGTGTGTGTGTGTGTGTGTGTGTGTGTGGTTGATGGTGGGAGCAGCAAGCCTTTACGCGTTCACGGACGCACAGACACAATGCCATTCAAACGAAAAGCGTACTTTGATGGTCTCCTTGCGGAAGGTGATGCCAAAGTAATACCAGTCATGGGTCACAGGCAAGCCCCTGCACGCGCGGTGCATGGTGGAATGGTCACACGTCAACGTCAAGCCATTCATCCGCAGACACATGTGCACACTTGTCCCCCAACACACGCTCACGCAAAATGTACCTCAACGCAAGCACAAATATGTATGCACACACACACACACACACACACACACACACACACACACACACACACACACACACACACAAACACCATCGCGACACTCACTGATCCTCTGCAAGGAATCCATGTGCAAACAACGGAGAGATGGCGTTGAGGATCTATGCGAACGAATGTGCGTGTATGTGTGTGTGTGTGTGTGTGTGTGTGTGTGTGTGTGTGTGTTGGGACCGCGTGACATGAGCACATGACACAAGTATTGAACTGGTGATAAACACCGAAAGCGCTGTTACGCCACTGCCAGCTTGATTGCAATCCACACATGATAGCAATCACACCTGTGCATCGTTTCATACCTGGTTCATGATGAGATCATATTGAGAAGCGGGAAGGGCGATAAAGGGATTGTCTCGCTGCACGCCACGCGCACCATTCACAACCATGTTCACGCCGGCTAGTAATACAGATGTGTGTGTGTGTGTGTGTGTGTGTGTGTGTGTGTGTGTGTGTGTGTGTGTGTGAAGATGAACGTGCGTGATGAGTGCAAACACGAGGAGGGGGGTGCTAGGCAAACCATCTGGCTCTTCGCACATGATCAACGAGTTGATGTGAACAGAGAGCAATGTCTTTGCGAATGTCTTTGCGAATGTCTTTGCGAATGTCTTTGCGAATGTCTTTGCGAATGTCTTTGCGAATGTGTTTGTCGTTGCATAGATTCCATTCCCCCCCCCCCACCTGGGTTGTCGGGAAGAATCTCGTTGAGGGTGCACTCCTTGATGGTTCTGAGACGCAGCACGTTGTTCTTGTCCACAGATGTCAGGCTGAAGTTGACTTGACGCACAAACTCCCTGCGCAAAAGCAATGAAGGAAGGAAGGAAGGAAGGATGGATGGATGGATGGATGGATGGATGGGGGTTGTGCAAGTGCGCGTTGGTGCGTTAGCGTAGGTACAGAAGCAAAACCATCGCAAACACGAGTATATCAAGGCTACCACACACACAAACACACACACACACACACACACACACACAAACACACACATACATACACACACATACACGCACACACATACACACACATACACACACATACACGCACACACACATACACGCATACACGCACACACACATACACACACACACACACAAAAGCACACCTGAATTGGAGACGAAGGCGTGCGCGCGTGTACGCGACGGCGGCTGTGGCCACAAACGCAATGCACCAGCCACCAAGCGTGATCAGGGGCAGTGGGACGTCAAAGAGGGAAGGCAGTCCGGCCGCCTTCTTCGTCGTCGTGGCCGTTGATGACTTTGTTGCACCTGCCCCACTACCAGCAACATCGCCATCTTCACCGCTGGCAGGCTCCTTGATGGCAATCACCTCCGCATCCACATCGCAGCATGCGTCATCGGACGCACCATCGCCGTCGGGACTGGCGTCTCGCTCGTGTGCCCGGCGCACCCGGAACTCAATCCGATCCGCGCCTTGCAGCAGCCGCCCCTTGTAGTGACAGCACACACAGCACGTGTTTGGGGAGGACGGAATGGGAGTTGGTGGTGTTGAGATGTGGCAACCAACACCCAACGCGATGCACAACCATGTGAGAAGGTGAGTAAAACCAGTTGCAAATGCATTGTGACCGCACATACATTGCAAACCGCAAACACAAGCGGACCATACACACAGACGCACCAAACACAACACAACAGACACACGTACACAGGCACACCAAACGCACGCACGCACGCACATACACACAAGCAAACATACACACAAAAGCAAACATACACATACACACACAAGCAAACATTTGCAAGTGCCTACCACGTCCAGGTATTCGGTTTTGTGGAGGAAGTAGAGGGCTCCGAAAAAGGTAGCGCCGAGGCCGCCAATGGTGAAACCAACCATTGCAGATACCGGGCTATAGAAGAGAATCTCGTGCAGGATGTCCATGAAGAAGTTGCCGGTTCGCGGTGGAGGCGGCGGAACAGCACCCGGCCCCGTGGTTGCGGACGATGAAGCCGTCGAGGATGACGACGATGAAGAGGATGAGGCGAAGCGGGACCACCTCTGCTTTGGCGCTGCTTGCTGCCTTGCCTGCGTGGCGACAAGGCGGCCAGAATCACGCGCTGCGGAGGCGAATCGGCTGCCACGCCAGCAGGCGCAGCGACACAATCGCCCGCGCACAGCGGCGAACGCCACCGCGCTGCTCATAGCGCTCAACAACAGCGAATCACACAATGGACACTTGCGTTGGTGAGTAACAAACACAGTGGGGTTGAATCGGGTGAAATGCGTACACCACGAGACAAGGAAAAGGGAAACCGCTTGTTGTTGCTGTTGTTGCTGTTGTTGCTGTTGTTGTGGTGTGAGTGAGCAGCAACACCATGCAAGGTGGGTGGTCGTGCAGTGTGTGGTGGGATTGTGGTCCTTCCTCAGCGCGCCGTTGTAGAAATTGTGCAGGTATCGTTGTAGATTTTCAAGCCAAACCAACAACAACAATGAAGTTGTGCTTGGCTGTGGTGGTGGTGGTGGTGGCTTGTGCCACGGTTGTGGCAGCCAACTCGGCAAGCAGGCCCGTGGTCGGCGTCCTGACCGTGCCCACCTCCGGAAGCACTTGTCTGTGCTTGTGTGTGCTTGTGTGCTTGTGTGCTTGTGTGTCTGTGTGTGTGTGTGTGTGTGTGTGTGCTTGTGTGTGTGTGTGTGTGTGTGCGTTGAAGTTCACACTGCTCACTCTGCTCACACTGCTCACTCTGCTCACTCTGCTCACGCTGCTCACTCTGCTCACTCTGCTCACTCTGCTCACTCTGCTCACTCTGCTCACTCTGCTCACTCTGCTCACGCTGTTCACTTGGTGGTGAGCTGACGATGTGACAATCACACTCACTGCCTTCCTTCTTCCCTGCTTCTCAGTCTGAAGCAGAGTGTGGCACATATGCACGCATGGTGGATGGTAGCGCGACGAGCTGCTTCGCTGCCTTCTACGTCAAGTGGCTTGGTCCGTCGTGCACACTACCTCATGAAACCCTGCTGCTCACCTGTGTCACCTGATCCAACGCCTCACGTTTTTTCGTCCCAAAGTCACACAAACAAGCAAACACAAGCCCACACAAGCACAAACTGGTGTACACAACAAACACACACTCGCACGCACTTGTGTGTGTGTGTGTGTGTGTGGGTGGGTGAGCAGACGTGTCCAACACTGATTACCAACAGTCACCCACGTTCTCAAACCCCGCTGCTGAATACAGAATCGTCTGGGGTGCGCGTGGCCGTGCTGCGATACGATCTCGATCCTGATGTGATGGCGGAGGCCATCCGTGGTGTCAATGGCGTGCTGTTTACTGGCGGCGGTGAATCTCTGAAGCCCAACACGCCCTACTACGAAGCTGCCAACCGTATCTTCAAACAAGTCCTGGACATTAATGACCAGGGCACCTTCCTTCCTCTCTGGGGGTACGTCGCTGTCTTTGGTCGGTGTTGTGTGTGTGTGTGTGTGTGTGTGTGTGTGTGTGTGTGTGTGTGTGTGTGTGTGCTGTAACACGAAGCGAGAGACGCGCCACATACACACGCACACGCACGCACACACACGCACGCACGCACACGCACGCACACACACGCGCGCGCGCACACACACACACACAATGGCGCACACAATCGCACACACACACCAGGATCTGTTACATCACGTGATTTACACACCTCTGTGTAGAGTTGTATCGTGTCCTGCGTTTGTTATGCTTTGCGTTCCTGCGTGACATCTCACCACACGCATGTATGCCGCAGGACCTGCATGGGATTCCAACTGCTCACCATCCTCGCAGCAAACAACCAGTCTGTCCTGGAGCACCACGCCTTTGACAGCGAGGTGTGTGTGTGTACGTGTGTTTCTGTGCGTGCGTCTCAGTGTCGGCTTGTCTCTATGAGTGCTTCTTTACAGGTGATGTGCAGCTGCATTGACCGCACAACGATACGTGTGCCTCCAGGCCATGAAGCTCACAATCATGCCTCTTTGCCCCCCCCCCCAACCTTTCACACGCACACACCCGACACCCGCAATTTTGTTTGCCACACCTGCTACTTCGCATGTGTCATGCAGGACATTTCGCTGCCGCTGCTGTTCTCGAGCGAGGCTGCAGATTCGCGGCTGGTGCAGGCCATGCCATCACACATCCACTCCATTTTGCAGCGCAACGTCACCAGCAATCTCCACCACGACGGTGTCAAGCCAGGTGGGCGAGTGTGCTTGCAGGCAACAGGAAAGCATGGACACATTCGGAATCTCAGCGTGCTTCACGATTAAGCATTCACTGAATTTCTGCTTGGCTGTGATGTTGCTTGTGGGGTGATATTGTTTGTGTTGCACGTGTTGCACGTGGTGTACGTGTCATACGCTGCCGTCATACACAGAGACATATGCGACAAATGGGCGCCTAAAGGCATTTTACCGCCTCATCTCCACCAGCGTCGACCGCAAAGGAAACCCGTTTGGCAGCACCCTCGAGGCCCGCAACTACCCCATCACCGCCACGCAGGTGTGTGTGTGTGTGCGTGTGTGTGTGTGTGCGTGTCTGTCTGTCTGTCTGTCTGTCTGTCTGTGTACGTGCGTGTGTCTGTGTGTTTGTGTGCTTGCACGCACTCTCCTTCCCCCTACAGTTGGTGTGCGATGTCTGAATGGTCACACAATAACGTCTGCCTCGTTCCACGTCATGTGCTGCTGCTGCATCTGTGCACGTGAGCAGTGGCATCCAGAGCGACCGCAGTTCGAATGGCGCCTGCGTACGTGACTGCCATCACCACAGTACATTGCACTGCACTCTTTGTGTATGTGTGTGTGTGTATGCTGGCTGTCGCCGTGAGCGTTGGTGCCGCTGTTGCTATTGTTGTTTGTTGCGGCTCCTAGTAATCTTTCAACCACCCCCCCCCACACACATACACACGCACATCGTGTAGATGAAGGGTTTTCGCACACGATGGAGACGTTTGAAGCGATGCAGTGGATGGGGCGCTACTTCTCGTCGCTCGTGCACCAGAGGTAGGCGTGATGATGGGATGAGGAAGAGACAAGTGGAAATTACTGTGTGGTGTTGCGTGTGGCATACGAGACTCAGTCATAGTAATCGTTTGTTTTGTTCATCATTATCGTTCACACGCACACACACAAACACACGCGCGCACAAACACACGCGCACATACGCACTGCGTACCCCCGTCAGCAACCAGTCGTTTGCAAATGCGACGTTGGAGGCGGAGCTGAGTATTTACCGACACCACGTGACGCTCGACCCGACTGGGGGCTCGTACCAGTTCTACATCTTCGGCTGAGAACACGGTGGTGGTGTGTGTCTCTGTCTGTCTGTCTGCCTGTCTGTCTGTCTGTCTGTCTGTCTGTCTGTCTGTCTGCCTGTCTGTCTGTCTGTCTGTCTGTCTCCCTCTCTCTGTCTCTCTCTTTGTCGCCCCTTTGCGCGCTGCCTCTCGCCCCTTTGCGCTCTCTCCACACACGCACACACACACACACGCACTCTCTCTCTCTCTCTGTCTCTTGCACACAACGAAGGCGACGTTGGCATTCTGCATTGTGTCTGCGCATGCTGTGAGTTGTTGCTGGCGGTTCCTTCACTGTTCATTTACTCGCAATTAACGGGTGCTGCGAATGTAACGCGGTGGTAACAAGGCAAGGCAAAAAACAAAGCAAAACAAGGCAGTTCTTCTAGAACGCAGCAACAGCAACGAGCAGCCGCGGCAACGACACAGGGGTCATCTCATCATTATAGAGAACAAAACGGGGCCACAAACACGGTCTACTGCTGTGTCTTGGATCTTGGATTGGCGCTCTGTGTTTCTTTGCATCGGGTCATGATGTTGCAACACCCAATTCGCAGCGCTTCAGGGAATTGCAGAGTGTGTGCATCTGCCACGCGCCTTCCCGCGACTGAAACCTGTAATGCAATGCAGGCAACACAACCAGCGATGGACCATGAAAAGGTGAGACACCGCCATAGTCCCAGAGACAACACAAGCATGCTTCAATCGCCCAATATACAAGCACAGACAAACACGAACTTGCACACAAACATACACACACACACACACAAATACAAATACAAATGCACGCGCACCAACCACACAAAAAGACAAGCATGAACCAGCATGCACACAAACATACACACACACACAAATACAAATACAAATGCGCACGCACCCAAACATACACACACAACAGACAAATTCACACACACACACACATACACACACGCATAAATCGTCTCTGCGCACGGCACCTGAACACAAAGGTGGTCGCGTCATCCTCGCCCTCGATGTCCTGCGAGCAGTCGTAATACCCGGGCACGGTCTGAGCAAGCGCTAGAAACGCATCGAACGTGTCAGGCGTGGCGCTGTCAACCGTGACAGCGTGCAGCTGTTCCACCGCCATCGCTGCCATCATCGCACCGTCCGTGTCCGCAGAAGAAGCCGTGTGCGGATATGCATGGAGGCCCGCCTGGTGATGCGTGTACCCGCCGTGTCGTGTCGGCGCAGACGAGGGAGGGTGTGCGCGCTGCATGCGAGGAGAGCCGACGACGGAGGTGGTTGGGGGCGATGATGCGTTGCACGTGCTCACAATGTCGCATCGCACGCTCTCAACAGCGTCAGCATCACCGTGCAGCAGCAGCGTGTACGAAGGGTCTGACAGGAGCACACGCATGTACACGCCCTGGCTATCGCACAGGTCCTGGATGGCATCCACGTCGACGCTGGTGCTCCCTGACAGCGCCAGTGTCAGCGTACGCACGCGCTCCTGCAGAAAGCGGTCGATGCGTTGCTTGCACTCCTTCACCATGTCAACGGGCCCGCACAGGCTGTACACAAACTCCCGCGCACGGTGCTCATCTGTGCGCTCGTCACGGCAGAGTGGAAAGGGCTCCTCTGTCAACGCAGCGCGCACCGCGTCGCTCTCCATGTCGATGGCGGTGGGCAGGTTGCTGGGCAGGTGGAACGGCGAGCAGTGGAGTGCATACGCCAGTACGATGTCGTCATCGCCGTCATTAGTGGTGGTTGCACTGCTGGTGGTGAGGTTTAATATGTTTGGGTCGGTCACCTGGTACACCCACATGTCCTGCGTACGTGTGTATGCATGTATGTGTGTTGGGGTGAAGGTGAGGGAAGCAGCAGCTCGAGTTGACGCGCACGCAGCAGCGGTGCACAACGGTGCATTGATGGACAGGCCGAAGGGCCCAACCAACACAACACAAAACACAAAACACAACACACAACACACACCACACACACACACACACACACACACACACACACACACACACACACACACACACACACACACACACACACACACACACACACACACACACACACACACACACACACACACACACACACACACACACACACACACACACACGTAGTATGTCCAGGTGAAGATGCCGGGTGTGCTGGTTGTGTGTTGAATCTTGAAGCGAAAAAAGCGAGCATCCTTCCATGCATCGCGATTGTAGAATGCAACGTGACGGCTGATGACTGGGTGGTGCCGAAGTGACGCCGCAGCCTCCTTGCTCATCTGCCAGCTGCAGGTTTGCAAAGCCACAGCCAGCGTGTGTGGCCCCGCAGTCCATGGCCAGGGGCGCGTCAGCAGCGTCACGTGCGTGTGGCATCGGGATGACATCGTGGTCCACCTCATCAATGCCGTGCAGCACCGTGTACAAGTGCCCCCGCGTGATCACCAGACTGTTCCGCTCAAGCAGCAGCCGCGCAATAGGCGTTGTTGTGTGGTTTGGGGTATCGTGTGCGTCGTGGTCGCCCTCTCCCGCAGCAAGAGCAGGGTCCGATGCGGTGCGCTGCGGCAAGCTGTCATCATTACCGGGCTCGCTTGCATTGTTGCCGTCGTAGTTGGCGGTCTTCGTGTCGCTTCGCTGCTGTTTGTCGTAGAAGTTTAGGACGGTGTGGGAACCGAGACTGATGGTGGCGATGGTCGGTACATAGAGGGGGCCGTCTTCATGCGGCATGATCCCTGTGGCGATAGCGTGACGTTGTGAATGCGTGTGAAGCAAATGGCATTGGCATGCGGCGGGCACGCAAGAAGAGTACACAACAAGCACAACACCAAAGAACACACACACACACATGCACTCAGGGGCAAGCACGCACACTCACACAGGGGCATGCACACAGGCAGACTCATGCACACACACGGGCAAGCACACAAGCACACACACACACACACACACACACACACACACACACACACACACACACACACACACACACACACACACACACACACACACGCTCAAGCTCACAAGCACACACACGTACACGCATACACACGCTCAAGCTCACCTTGTCCTGGTTCGTACTCGTTGATGAGCACATGGTTGGCTTGGAGACGATCCTCCCCAAAGATACCCAGATCACTCACTGTTTTCGTCCATGGGGACAGCCAAGAGGGCAGCGGTTGCTCCAGCATGCCTGCATGCACAGCATAAGATTGTTGTGAGCCACTGGTTCACGGCAGGGCACACGCATCGGCACGCGGGTGGCAAGTTCACATTGAACTGGCCTTTGCAGACTCAACGCGTCTCAACATTTGTCTGACCTTTTGGCGACGGAAGACCGCCCCAGTTCTGAAGTCGCCGGTTCTTCAGGTGCACCCCAGTTCTGAAGTCGCCGGTTCTTCAGGTGCACCCACTTTGGCTGACGAGGGAAAGACGCAACCAGCGGGGGAGACGAGTGAACGATGCGGAGGAGAGGGTTGGTTGGTCGGAAGAAGAACGAAGCCGGTCAACGAGGTGAGTGGAACTTGTCATTCCCCAATAAACCAGCCACACACACATGCAAACGCACACATGCAAACGCACACATATGCAACACACACATGCAACACACAGGTGCAAACACACACACATATGTCAGCACATGCGCAAGAGTACCTTTGGAGCGGCATAGATGTTGTCCAGCACGCGTTGGGCATCCTCGTCGGAGATGAAGTTTGGGATGTAGAAGACCTCATCCAAGCCAGGCACCCGACGATGCTGCTCCAATCCACCACCAACAACAACAGTCGTCGTCGTCATTGCGCGACTGGTTTCAGTTCTGAAACTGACTTCAGTCTGCTTCGTTTCTTCCATTGCCAAACTGAATTCAGATTCCTTCCCGAAGCCACCATCGCGGCTTCGTTTTTTTGTGCTTCACGTTGTGCCTGGCGGCCAGTGCACAAGACAGCCCATACGCTCCCACACTTTCCGCAACGCACCACGCACACATTTGAACGTAGGGAGCCAGCACTCGAGTGGAGACTGTCTCGCTTCTTGCTTGTCGACAAGCCACAAAAGAGCACACACACGCACACGCACACACGCACACGCACATACCGTCACACACGCACACACATACGACACGCGCACACACTTCCTTCTTGCTTGTTGTACGTTGTGACAGTACATTGTAACACGAGCGGTAGCGCCATTGTGCCACCACCCTCCCACGCTTCGCTGGCCTGTGGTCATTTTCGATCCATCCCCTCTTGTGTGCTTCCCTTTGTGGAACACCTCCTCGCTTTGATGCATCCTCGTGGGAGTGGCCTTCCTGCTTGCAGTTCATGCTGGAAAGTGCCTCGATAGGACCTGCCTAAACCACCCCAACAGCCAACGACGCCGAGCACGCCGACCACGCCGACCACGCGTGAACGCCCAGCAGCCTCGGCATTCTCTTGCTCCACACACCCTCGCTCTCGCACCCGCACTCGCGCTCGCACGCATACGTGCACACAAATTCCCGTTTTCGCTCCCTTCCTTCACTGCCGTCCTCTTTCGCCGCACTCCCGACGCGAAGAGTCAAGTGACCGCGCAAGATAGAAAGCACGCCTGACTTGTCCTCCTTCGTCGACCCCAGAGCTCAACATGGACAACAACGACTTCTTTGAGGGCCAGGAGAAGCTCTTGGAGGTTTGGTTCAAGCCGCCAAACTCCACCATCACTCCAGGTAGAGTGTGTATGTGTGTGTGTGTGAGTGTGCATGTGTATGCGTGTATGTATGTGTGTATGCAGTGTGTACATGCGTGTATGTATGTGTGTATGCATGTGTGTACGTGCGTGTATGTGTGTGCGTGCGTGTATGTGCGTGTGTGTATGTGTCTTCTTTGCCGGGTTTGTGCAGCTCTCCACGCTTTGACCATCGCGCTGCTTGCTTGCATGCTTGCTTGTGCCCTTGGCATTTTTCTCAGGCAAGCACCCACATCGTGATGACGCCCAAGGCCTTCGCGCCATTCCAAGGTGCAGCGCTTGCCTTTCGCACACACACACCATTCGTGGGTTGGAGTTTTTTTTTTTTTCCTTCGCCCTGTTGGCTTTCTCCCAATCTCCCCCCCCCCCCTTTGCCAACCCACCTTCTGTGCCCCACGCTTTTTCTTCACCAACTTCACACTCTCTTCACTCACGGACCCGCCATGCACGCGCGTTTGCATTGGCTATTGCTTGTGTGTAGGGCGCGCGTTGAGGGCATTCTTGATGAAGCCAAGTGCTGCATTCTCGACGCGTTCCACGGCGACTTCATGGACAGCTACGTCCTCAGCGAAAGCAGCCTCTTCATCACCGCCTATCGCATCATCCTCAAGGTGTGCACGTGTGTGTGTGTGCACGTGTGTCTGTGTGTGCACGTGTGTCTGTGTATGTGTGTGCATGTGCGTGTGTGTGTGTGTGTTTGCTGAACCGCACACCTTGCCTCAATGCTCTCACCTTGCTTCACTTCGCTGACGCCATCCCCTTTCCCCAACCTCACCTCAACCCCCTTCTCCCCAATGCCATGACCGCGTTCAGACATGTGGCACGACGCGGCTGCTGCCTGCGCTGCCGCTGATCGTGCAGGCGGCCGCGGACGTCGGCCTGACGGAGATTGACGATATGTTCTTCAGCCGCCGCGAATTCATCGCCCCGCACACGCAGGAGTTCCCGCACAGGGACTTTCGCGAAGAGGTGCAGTGCTGTAGTGGTGGAGGTGGTGGTGGCGGCGGGATTGCACTTTGGCCTTTGGTGTGTGTTTTGTGGTTTTGCTGTGTAGCCATTGCTCATCTGTGTCTCGCACACATTCATACGAACAAAAATAACACAAACCATCCGCCACCCGCCAACGACCCCACACACACCAACGCACACGCACACGCTCAAACACGCTCAAACACACACGATAGGTTGCGTACCTTGACCAGTACTTTGACGGGGTTGCGTATCCGCTTGGGCGGCTCAACGGGGACCGCTGGTATCTCTACACGCTCAACAACCAGCTCCACATCACCTGCCCTGACGTCACAGTCGAAATCATGATGACGTCACTGGACAGAACGGCCATGAACGCGTTCTACAAGTCGACGTTGACAGCGCGCGAGGTGACACAGCAGTCCGGTATTGCGGACATTGTGCCCGGCGCACACATCCACGAGTTTCTCTTCGACCCCTGCGGGTACTCCTGCAATGCTGTGTTTGGCGAATTCTACTTTACCATCCACGTGACCCCGCAAGAGGAATTTTCATACGTCAGCTTCGAAACCGACGTGCTCAAGGTGTTGTGTGTGTGCGTGTGTGTGTGTGCGTGCGCGCACGTGTGTCTGTGTATCTGTGTGTATGTCTGTGCATGTGTGTGTGCGCGTGTGTGTCTGTGTCTCTGTGTCTCTGTGTCTCTGTTTGTGGTTGAATGTTGCGCATTCGAGCCTTGCGCCATTCTTCATCGCCAGCTGCTAAATTACCTCACCTCCCTCCCGCCCCCTCCAACACACACACACACATACACACACACACACACACACCACACCACACCACACACACACACACACACACACACACACACACACACACACACACACACACA